TTCACACACACACTTCACTTTCACACACTTTTCACATTTCCACCTGCGATCTCTTTTTTCAGCGCCATTTCGCCCTTTTCAATTTCCGCTTTATCCCGTTTTGGCGCACACGTGAGAAATGAGAGAGAGAGAGAGAGAGAGAGAGAGCGACATCATCTCCCCTCACCAAATATGGAGACATCTTGGAACGAAAGCGCCGACGAAGTCACGTAGGCAAGAGTTAGAAAGGGTGCGCAATAGATGTGTAGACTTTCTGCAATTCACACACACATGCAGCGCAAGACCTCGTGAGCGCACGAAAAAATTGTGGGCGACACCACGGACATAACGGAACCAAAGTAGGGTGCTTCTCTGTCATTTTTGCTGCTTTTTGCACAAGAATAAAAGAATGAAATAATGTTTAACACACTTGTTGCATTGGACTTTCACTTTTTTCATTACACTTTCACATATTTGCCATTTTATGCCGCTGCTTCGCCTTTTCGTAGATTTAACACTTTCTTGCCAGGATTGTTGATATTTTTCACTGCACTGCACTAACACACACAAGCTACACTATTTTCCGATTGATTTTCACCATTTTCCCGCTTTTTCCGACCCGAAACCGGCAAAAGAACGCGGAGCTGACTTGGAACGCGTGCAAACCGAACCGGGAATTGGAAGCTTCTGGAACTGGAAGACCGATGATGTAACTGCGCAACCGGCTCATTGCATGCACTCTTTTTGCTCCACTTCCAATCTCTCACTACTAAGCATAAGGAGAGTGAACGTTTGTGTAGGTGTGTGGCCACTTGTTAGTATAGTGGGCGTGAGAGCGAGCGAGATGGTTAAAGTTCGGTGCACTTCGCGGAGAGACCATTATGAAATTATGTATGTATGCATTTATGTACATATGTATGATTTCATCATGGCGTAGGCTCATTCCATGCGGCTCTTTTATTGCTGCTCCTCTTCTCCTCTGCTCATACTGCAGAGCGTGGTCTTATTGGAATTTGATTCAATTTTAACGGTGTGTTCTTGTGCTTCTCCTCACCTCCCACGCCAAATGAACAATGGACAGTAACATTTAAAGGATAGGATGAAAGTGGGGTACAATTTTGTGTATTTTTTAATAGGGGTTTTCCTCTTTTTTCTAGGTGTAAATTAATTTCTATTCGATTTCATCTAAAATTTCTCCCATTATTTTCATCCCCAAAACCATATTAACAATCCAAAAATCCTCGAATATTCATCCCCCCATCTGTTGTCCCACTCTTAGGATTATAAATTGCTCTTCCCCCCCAATCCGCATTTTCCTGCCCATTTCCGAATCTCTCAATGATGATGATGAATATGTTATTGGAATGACCGCAACACTTGACCGTAACAACTTGTCCCAAACAAAATGCATTATAATGATTTATGAAGAGGTACCGTACCTCCCGTACCTCCTCCCACACTCTCTGCTCCCCCAAAAATCCAACCCCTAGACAAATTAACAAGGATATATGATGATGATGTGGCATTCATCCTGCCACAGACAAAAGAGGGAGGAGAGAGAGAGAGAGAGACACCCACAACCACAAGCTGTCAAAGCCACAAAGAGACACTCGACTCGACTCGACTCGACCCAAGCTGAAGCAGATGCTTGCCCCCAAGGTGTTTTTGCCTCGACCAAAGTTTAAACAAAAATTAAAACACCTACCCCAGCCCCCCCGCACAGCAGGCGACCCTCCCCGACCCCATTCCTAGCATCCTCTCATCTTTGCCTGAACTTGAAGCTAATCAAAAATGTGTTGCACAAAAAGAGCGTAGGGCAGAAAAAGTAAATAATGTTTTTGAGTTGTTTGGGCAAAGTCGAACTGAGAGATACGCTTTCTTCTGGGTTTTCCAGTTGAAGAAAACTTGGAAAACAATAGTAAATTTGCTTCGAGTGCTCCCGACTCTTATAGTTCACATAAAATCATAGTTTATTGCAAATTTGTATACTCCACAAAGAAACTTCCCAACTCCAATACTTCCTCCCCAAAATCTATACGAAAACGTCACAAACTCACCCAAAGTAACATCATACCCTCTGAGATTTACCATCGAAAATAAACGACACAACAAACTTGTGTAAAGCGAAAGTGCAAAAGTTTTTCAAGGAGTTTTCTTTGCTTAACTTTACTTTTTTTTCCAGCCGGCAATCAACCACCAAAATGCGGGGGGGTACGGCAGCAATGGCTGCGGAAAACCCAAACAAGAATGTTGTTGTAAGTTCCATGATTAGCATTTTATCAGGGAGATCCTTGGGCATCGTCATTCCCTTGTCTTAGGACACGCATTTCGGAACGGCGGCAACTTAAACCCATCTTTATGCTAATTTAGTTTTTCGGCTAAGAAGCGGCAACAGCTGACAATGTTGCCGCCAGGTTTTCAACCCACCCCCCAACCGAGCCACCACACCCCACGAGTACGGAAAATCACTCCCCTAGATTTGACTGGTGGCAAAGGAGAAAGAAGGTCCTGGTCCTGGTGCTGGTTCTGGTTCTGGTTCTGCCTGTCACATGAGGAAGCTGCTGCGTGTCACATAATCAAGAGCGAAGGAAAATACTCGTACAACCTGCAGGGTGCTTTTTATATGCGTGTTTTATGTGCAGATCCCATTAATTTATTGCCAGAGACATTGAGACACCTCCAAAAGCGAACAAAAGGCGACATTATTATTTCATTATTATGCCAAACGCATCCAGGATCTGTCCTCTCTCCCACTCCACATCCACATCCACGTGAGCAGCAGGCTCATATTACATAGTACAATGGGGAAAAGCCGTGGTCGTGGTCGTGGTCCTGGTCCTGGGGAGCTCGCGTCAGATGATTCATGCGATGGCAAATTTTTTGACGCCCGCCACATAAATAAAACAGGAAGTCTGCTCCCCGTAGCATATGTTTGGATAGTCCCCGGGTCAAAAGAGGTGGCCAGAGCAGGCGGGCGAGGAGGTAGAGCCGTGGAGGCTGTTATATTTACTCGTAAATATTTTTATAGGCCCACCGAAGGTTTCCTGGGAGGTGGGAGGCGGGAGATGAACGACAGCGTGGAGGTGGAAGGAGGCAGACAACCCTCACACAAAAGCAGGTGCCTCGAAACACCTTTCTTTTTCACTATTTTCATGCACTAAATTTAGATTTTGTTTATGGGCGGCATTTTAGAGGAGTTTAAGCCTATAAAATATAGGGGAAATTAATTTGCCTCATAATAGGGTATTTTATAGTCGAGCAGATGTAAGTAAATGTGAGCGGGATGCGGCAAAGTGCCTGATTTCTTTAACATCATCGATCATCATCAACATCAGTCGATTTATTGACATTTGAATTAAAATCTCTGGGTATCCAATGAGATAACTATTTTCTATCCATCCACCAAAAACCATAAAATTCGTTTGGTTTTTAGAGCTAACACTTAAAAATAAAGTTAACATTTATTATTCAAACGTAGCGTTTATTTTATCCCATTTTCTCTTGTTCTGAAATTTTGTCTTTATTTTTTAATAAAATTCTTACGTAAATTTAAAAGCATTAAATTTTAATTGGTTTGGTTCCCAAAGTTGATTAAACAGAAAACAAATTCAATTATAGGGTATTCCTAGGCCCAATAATCTCTTTTGTTATTCCAACACTTCCCAAAATCCTCTCAATTTTAACTCTATTAAACGGTAAATTTCCTATTGGAATTGGCGGCAGATTCACACAACCAAAAAATACACCCACACACGCAAACACACACATGCACAAACCACTCACCTTAACAAACACGCCTTCCCCTCCCGTCGTTGCTGCTGCTGCTGCTGCTAATCCTTTCTTTCACGGCTTTTGTTTGTGTGTAAACCATTTAGCGCCAATTAAAACATAATTGCGGCATTCACTGATAGCAATCGGCGTGCCCTTAAATCATGTTCGGGCCTGTCTGTAAATTATTCGCGCGTGGGTGTTGCTGGAGCCCAAAAATCGCGACACATTTACACATTTGCCGCAACAAAATTTTTCCGCGCGCGAAAACTAGACGAGACGAGGGAGCACCACACTCACACGCACGCACACACACACACAGACGCGGTATGATGCTGCGGCGGCAAGATTGTTGTCAACCGGTAAAATGGCTTCAATCTGCGACGCACACTTTAATTTTATTGCACTTTTGGCGTTGATTAAAAACCCAGCCACAGCCAAACACCTGCACACAGCCCCATTTTGGTAGGAGGCTCTTGAATTTTTGGTGTTGCCACAAAGCACGTAAATTGTAGGCAAAAATATTTGCTATGCGTTCCGTGTCCACTCGCAGAATAGAACCGCGCGACGCCAGCAAAGAGAAACGAATGCCGATTCCATGCTGATCAGGATACGTTATTGTGGGGGAGGCTTTCAAGGCCGAAGTGGCATACGAAGCACAGCCGAAAGACGAAAAGAGAGCAACACCCACCAAAGAGGACGAAAGAGAGCGAGACTATTGTTTGGTGAGTGTGTGTCAGCTGTTTTGAGCCGGTGTGTGGGTGTTGGGTGGGAGTGGGGTTGGAACAATGATGGGTGGCAAGTCAAGGGTCGCCCGGCCGAGTTGCCGTTTTTTGGCCGCCTCTTTCTATCATCTAGAATATATAATATTTTAATGGGAAAATACTGTTAAGCGGTGTTATTTCTTGTATTCTAATTTAGCAAAAGAAAACTCTAAAAATGAAAAAGCATTTTCAAATGGTTATCTCCTCAAACGGTTTTTGGTGAGAGGTGAGTTTTCCGTTTTCAACATAAAAAATACCAATATATCGCCATAAAGTATCAATTAAAATTGAAAATTTTGAATAACTTCCGTGAAAATAATGCCAAGGAATATTTAAAAGCTCTATAAAAGCGCTTTGCTTTCTAAGCCCAAACCAAAATATATATCTATATATATATATCCCTTTCCATATATAATTTATTTGCGATAACTTCCTGCTACAAATATCGTTCCAACTATCGTTGGATCTTATGGTATTTTTTGGCATATACAGTCACACTGCGCGTCCAACACATTTTTTTATTGAATCGAAACCGAATTTGTTGCAAATTTTTAACGAAAAAAAAGCCAAGAAAAATGCCTGCTGTGGTGCGTATTAAGCGGCGGATTGATGAAGAACCACACACGGCCTTCGTGCTAAACGGCAAACGGCGGCGGCTGCACAGCGATGAGAACGCGTTGGGCACAGCACAACTGCTGCCGGGGGCGGATCCGTCCGCATCCGCCGACGCCGCGGACAAAGACGAGCTGACGACCGTGCTGAAATTTGCCGGCACCCTGACCAAGCAGGTGAGTGGGGCCATAAATGGGGTATATATAGATATTCGGTAGATATTAAGGTTCGTTTTCTTTTACGTTAGGATGACAGCGCCACAAAACAATTTGCAGCGGCGCGAATGAACAAAGCTACGGCCAAGGAGCTAGTGCAACAAAAATCGAATGCTGCGGCCATTGCCAGTGCCCTGCGCAGGGACAGGCAGCGTTTGGAGGCACAACAAACCACACGCGAGCAGCGTTTCCGTGTGGTCAACTGCTTAAGGACTACACTCGATGACATCAATGAGAACGAGGGTGCGGCAGGCGGCAGCAGCAGCAGCAGCAACAACAACAAAGATGATGCAGCCGCTAAGATTACAATTCTGGATATCGAATCACATCAGCAGCAGCAGCAGCGAACAGGGGCGGCGGGAGACATAGAAACCGCAGCAACAGCAGCAGGAGGACTGCTGACAGAGGAGGAACAACGGCAGCCGGGAGGAGGAGGCCACCAGCAGCTGGATCAACAGCAGCCAGCCGATTCGGATATTGGCTATGTCTACGATTTATATGTGCCCGAGAATGAGATGCAGGCGGCCTATGTCGATATGATGGATGACAATTATCTAAGGTTCGTCATACACATTGAACCACATGAGCAAACGTTTAGCATCACGAATACCTTTATGTAGAGTGGATGATGAGCAGCCAAATTAAGCCATTCTCCCATTGGCCTGTGTATTGTATTTTGTAGGTGCTTGTGTGTGTGTGTATGTATATACGTATATATATGTGGGTGGTGTGTGTGTGCCTCCTCCCTTCCCCCTGCCTTACTGTTTGTTGGGCTGTTTTTTTGCGTAATCCTCGTGGCCAGTCGTCTCATTTATCGCATTTATCCTATTAATTTTAATGTTAATTAAACAAACAACAACAAAACTAACAATCATGTCTACTGCTCAATAATCCAACCCATACTCCGTATCCGATTCCGTTCTCTATAAAAGGTTGTATTATCCGTTTAATTACTACTACACCTGCTACTGGTAGTAGGACACAACTTGCCACAGAGAGAGAAAGAGAGAGAGAGAGAGAGAGACAAAGCAGCAGCAGAGACAAAGCCCCAGCCCCTCATCCAAAGAATGAAAGGATTGCCCTGCCACACACAGGCACACAGGCACACAGCCACAGCCCCAAGGCGCCCGCCCACTAATATGACAAAAACTGTTTAAGACTCTATCGATTGATTAGTTTATAATTCATTAGATATATGATATGTATGTATGTGTGGTGCAGCTATTGCGCTTCAATGAAAGAGCAGCAAAAATGGCAGAGGCATGCCAAATATTTAGCGGATTTATATGGATTATGCATGATCTAAAGGAGCAGGCAGATGGATCTATATGAAAACACAATCTACTTGATCTTCAAATACTTACCAGTCGAAGTTTAAGAGCGAGACTACGGCTTCAACCTGCAAAATTTAAAAAAAAGAAGATGCGACTTGGTCGAAAGCGAACTGCTTGATCTTAGAAAATTGAGAAATCTTTAACAAGGAAATGCATTTATAAACAAAATAATCTGCTTGCTGAAAAACATCATTAAAACATTTTATAGATAAAGTCTAGCAGGGAGAGAACACCTTGAGACAGACAAGGAAACGCTTCGATTTTATGCCGAAGGAGACCGACTTGATCCTTACTTAAAATCCAGCAACAAAAGAGAGGATTCTATTTTGAAATTGAACAAGAAAAATCATTATAAAAACGTTTTTGTAAGAGGCATCTTAAATCTACTCCTTAATCTTAGAACAAGAACTGGATGGAGCAAGACCAAAGCAAGATACAAAATCATAACAAAAAAATCCAATAATAATCCTTAAGTTTACAATAAAATTTAAGTCGAAAATGCATCTACAATATTTAACAAAAAAAAACCTAATGGCTTTGTAAATCCCTATACTCTCTGAGTGTCGGGTATAATTATATGCCAATGGGGATAAAGCACTCCCCAAATATATCGCTATAAATAAAAGCAAAAATATGGCTAAGATATGTAGAGAAAATTCACATAAAGTTCGTAGCTATAAGAAAGAGATGCCACAAACATCTTGACCAATTGTGAATACCTTATTCCAGAGGTAAAGAAAATTGCTAGATCGCAAAAATTAGTTACCCAAAGCAAGCATCAAGCTAACAAATATAAAGAAAATAATCAAATTAGACGAAAGTGCAATTCGTTAGAGAATTATGCATCTGTATTGATGTGAATTATAATTGCTAGAAGACAAATTGCCTGCCCAAAGTATCGCTATAAAGGAGCAGCATAAAATTAAGCTAAGAAATCGATAGAAAATCCCATAAAGGTCCCATAAATTTAGTGCCAAAGTTCAACCAAGAGAGCGGGGCAGACATCACTCTTATATCATTATATCACAATTATTATAGTAACCCCTTTAGAAGAATCTGTTTTGTAAGCCATTTTAGTGCCTGATAAAGATGAAAAAGGAAAATATTCTCTTCACTGGACTCCTCGTGCCCTCTGCCACACATCGTATGAACCAATCAATCGGTAGAGCCTTAAAGCCTGTGACATTTCTAGCATAAGTTCTTTCGCTTTGTATAGCTTTTAGTTACTATATGTTCCACATATCACACACCACACCACACACACACACCCTCCATACGCATACCATGTACCATTTTGTCTGTGTTGTGTGTGTTTCCATTATTTTTTTGGCCAGTTGCGCCCCGCCCCGCCGGTGTTCATTTATTCGTTTCGTTTCATTCTTGTTCCTTTCATTCCACACAAAACAAAAACAACAAAAATACAAGAAATCAGAAAGCCCGTAAACCGAGAAACTCTTGTGCTAAAGTCTAATTAAGTGCATAGTTTTTAGTGTTTGTTGGGGTCTAGAGCTGCCCCCGTGATTACAAAAAAAATAAACTGAATAAATAAACCAAATAAAAAAAAAACAAACTCTGACGTTTCAATGAAGAAAACAAAGAAAAGACTAGCTTCAGCGGTTGGAGATTTGCAGGTGATTAAAGGAAGGTCTCATGTGTCTTTGGTAGATGGATAAAATAAATGTCTGCTATTGCTTTGGTTTAAATGTCTTGATATATTAAAGTTGCAACGATTTCTATAAATGAGGTGTGACTTTGGAAGCTGCTCTTGTTCGAATTTTGTAGACATCATAATAAAAACCATGAAACTACAGATTGAAATTTAAAAATTCAGAACAAAATATTTTCCATTTAAATTGCATTTTTAGATAAATGTTTTCTTGGGTCCATAGTGTTCTTACTTAAAGAGAACTACTCATTTTTTGAGCAATATTTGGTATGTTATATTAAGTAGTGAAGCAGGATCTTGAGAGGGTTTTCCCTAGCCATCATTACAAATCAGTCTCCACATTGCTTAGAACTAAACAGAAATACTTCGCTTATAATTCAGTTACAGAATCACATACCCCCCCAATAAGCACATAAAAGTTCTCTACTCTCAAAGTCTATGCAAAATTCACAAGTAAAATAATTTTTTTGAAAATGTCTACAGTTTTATACCCATGGGTGATATAGTCCTAGAGGACTGCTACAATGATGCCGATGAAGAGTGCGATTCGGAGGACTCCAATCAGGAGAACTACTATGCCAATGATTATCCCGATGATGAGGAAGCAGCCATGGGATCGGATGATGAGCTGGCACGCGAAATGAACAAGTTTGTTTTTGGTAAGTGAAAGATATTGAAAGATCCTTAAGGGTCAATAACCTTGTTAATCGCTCTATTTCACAGACGACGACGAAGATGAGGATGGAAATGTCACATCCAGCGATTCGGAGGGGTATAACACATATCATGATCCCTATGTCCATTCGATTAACACCTCACACGACAGCTTTACGGATGATGTGGACTTCTGTAACACGGATCGTGAGCGTGGCAGTGCCTATGAGCGTTACAGGCGTCGCATTATGCGTGAAATGGCCGAGGAGGGCTTGAATCCTCCCATTCAGCTTAAGCCCGAGGACTTGGACTCCGATGAGGAGGATTCCTTTGCCAGTGCCGATGATAAATAAAATGTTTAAGTTTGTCTTACATTTGAAAATTAATAAAAATTAATATTAAATTCACATTTATTTGCCTTTAAATTTGTTTCTGTGTTCCTTTCTTTCAGTCTTAACATCCCCCATTTGTGGCCTGGGTGCACAACCCTCCATGTAGAGGCGCAGCGTCTCCTCGTCCATCTTTTCGTTCTCCTTGGGCGGCTTGTAGTCCAGCACATGGTCGACGCGCAGTGTTCGCTCCATGATCTTGATGCCATTTAGATTGTCCACGGCCAGCACAGTGGAGCGCTGATCCTCGTAGCACAGGAAACAGAAGCCCTTGGACTTGCCAGTCTTGGAGTCGCGCACCAGATTGATGTTGACCACTTCGCCGTACTGCGAGAAGACGCAAATGATGTCGCCCTCGGAGAGTGTGTACGGAAAGCCGGCCACAAAGATCCACGCCGAGTCGCGGTACATGTCGTGCCAGCTCTTCTTACCCACACCCTGTTGCAGGTCGTGTTCGCTGAGTTTCAGCACATTTTTCATATTTGTTAGCGGATTCATTTTGCTTTTAATTAATTAAATTCAAATCAAATCAAATTTCGACACTCTGTTTACGTTCAATGACAATGACAACAAATCAGCGCTTTCTGTCCTTATTTGCCGATCATATTCCTCGATTTTGATATTCCGTTTGATATTAGGCGCTAGCTTTGACTCCCTGCCCTCGAAATATAATTTTATCCAATTGACGAATCAATTTTCTACGGAACTTGCTCGTTTAAAGTACTCGTTTTCTTTTGATTATTTATAAAATAAGGCTTAAACAAATATAGTTTGAATGAAATGCTAGACAAAATTAACTTTTCACATGGTAACTACACATTTGCTACATGTCAGCTACATATTTATACATCGTCTTACAAAATACTGGAAATTTTGAATATGCTAGAAAATACTCAAAATACTGAAAATGTGCAAGGTGTGTAGCCAAAACAGGGTACACAATGAATTATTTATCGCAAAAAAATTAAACAAAGTTCTACTGATTGCAGAAATCTCGAATGCCACTGCCACGAAGAATTCATCGAGACTTGGCTTGCGAAAGTGTACATTTTTTGTTTTAAATTTTGGATGCTTAATGCAGAGTGGAACCAGAGCGGGGATAGAAAATACTTGTTTTGACATTCTGCACTACGTTTTTGGTATTATGGAAACGTAAGAGCTGGAATTGCGGTGAATGACGTCTGTGGTCACACTGCTCGTTGGTGCCGGACATTTGTTGTCGCGTTGCTCGTCGCGTTTTTTTGCTTTTGAAGTAAAGTTCGCCTGATAAAATGTTGTAATATTGCTCTTATTACACGACCAGTGTTTCCTTCGACATAGCGAAAGGTGTGTTAAATTGTTCACTTTGCCCCCCGCCCCTGCATATGGGTGACAAGTAAATGCAGAAAAAAGATATGCTGAAAAGCTGAAGAGGAAGCAGAGGAAAGAAAAGTATCTCTTCTCTATTTAAAAATGTGTGTCAGTGTATTGTGCACCATAAGCAGCATAAGCAACAACAACAAAAGTATAATAAATAATAGCTCTAGCACCGTTTTGGCGACGACAACTTCCCAAAGAGACCCTGAAGTGGTCTTTTAATTGTGGCATTGTTTTAGTATATTTTTCCCATCATCCAATTTCCAAGACGTGTTTTGTGCCAAATAACAGCAAATTATTCCCCCCTTTTATTCGGGATAGTGAAGTGTGTGTGAAAGAGTTGGGTTTGGGTTGGTTTGGTTTGGTTTGGATTGTCGTACGGGGAAAGGGGAAGTTGAAGTTGAAGTGTGTGTGAGTGTGTGTGTGTGTGTGTGGTGTGCTGCTGTCATCATCCATCCTGTATCTCCCTTTCTCACCCATTGTTCAAGTGTGTTGTTTCGTTTCCCACGCATTATGCTCGCGCTTTGCTATTGGAATAGTTGGTATGTATGAAAATTTTTAGGCGAATTACTGTATTTAACTGTATTATAGAGGGTAATTGCATATTAATATAATTTAAAGCTGCAATATGGCCCCTCTCACGGCGTCATTTTGTCGAATTTAAAGCATTATCAGGCACTCATACATACTTATGCTTACGCTTTTCTCCTTGTTTGTCGTTTGGTGTGTGTTTGTAATTATGTATGAGCGTTTTTCACACTAGATTTTTGTCACCCTGCTGCTGCCTGCCGTTGCTCTCCTCTTACATACGCACACACACACCTGAGAGAACTCCATGCCTTGCGCCTAACTGTCCGTCCCTTCTATCTGTCTTCTCTGTCTGTATGTCTATCTGTCTGTCATTCCACCCCCCATTTTCAGTGTATCTCTCTCTTACTCGCTGTGTGTGTGTGTGTGTGTGTGTGTTTGTATGTTTGCTTCTGCCGCCGCCTTACGTGTTGTTGTTTTTGGTCAACAGAAAAAAAAGGAAATTTATTTTCTTGTTTTTAATGTTTAGGTGTGGTCGTGCTTTACACACATGTACATACATATGTACATGTAACGTATGTGTGTATTACATGGATCCCCACGGATTCAAGCGGAAGCAGGCATAAAAAAAAGTTTTGTGGTTGACATTGAACTCTCCGGCTGTATCTCTCTCGCTTGCACTCTCTCTCTGTCTCTCTTGGTAAATGTCCTTCTTTTAGGGGATTTCTTACCTCTCCCCTCTCTCTCTCTCTCTGTCTTCTTTGCAGTGAATATCCTTCTCCTTCCCTATTTTCCTTGCAGATGGGCCTTCTTCCTCCCTAGCCTCGTGCTGTAGTGTACCTCCTGCAATTCCTCTCTCTGTTTCGTTTCCCACTCCTTTCGCTAATGCCCCCACCCCTCTTTCTGCCCCTCTCTGTGTTGACTGATTTTGCCGTTACTTTCCAAAAAAAAAATAAGTCGCTCCTGGCCTGGCCTTTCATTTTTTTTTCGCTCGCTTTTTGGCCACATTTACTTTTCCCTTATACCCTTTTTGGCACCGCAGAGTGCTTTGGTGAAAGGAGGCAATTGGCTAATGGATGGGGTGAAATAATTCAAAGATCATGATTAATTTCCCTAAATTTCCCTCAAGTGAAATTGGCACTTAGGGGGAGATCTTTTGCTTTTCATCGTGCATGGTAGATTGATTTAAATATATCTTATTTAAATAGCACATATCCATTACCGCCTAAATCTATTATAGACATATGTATTTATCTTCTTTGATATTTATCCTATGAGAGCATTTTCACTTCGCGTTGACTCATTTGTTCGCTTGTTTTCTATGGCGGAGCGGGAATGTGCGGGCCAAGCTTTCTCGTTTATTATTACGATGTCTGATATTCGTACATGCTACATAAATATACACACATACGTTCATACATATGTACATATGTACATGTGCATCATACGAAGAGTACATATGTATAACCCATACTGTTATTATTATGTGGCTCACGTCTTTGGGAAAAAAAAGATTCGCGCTGCGACTGCGCACGATTATGGCACATTTCATAGCCGTGTATAGCCCCCCACCCCCTGCCCCCTGCCCCCTGCCCCGCTCTGGTGGCTTTGCTCCAACGATGACGAGAGCAAAGTTGACTGCTGCCGCCTGTTGCAGAAAAAAAACGTGTCAAGTTGGCCAGATATATCTACTACCATCCATACACATAAACTACACAAATCATTCATATAAGGTAGTCGCTGTGCAAGAGCATAAACCAGAAAGCGAGAGAGAGAGAGAGAGAGAGAGAGAACAGAGAGCCGCTTGTCTGGGAGCTTCTGAGCTTCGATTAATTTCGTTGCGCCTCGGTAGCTGTGCACTCAACTCAAACATCCGCTCTGCTCTGCAGCCGTTGCCGCTGACGCTGCCGCTGCCGCTGCCGCCGCTGCAGGGTACCAGAGCGTTTACCTCGTCGCAGCGGGGACCTAACCTTATTACACATTATACTAAATTTACCCACTGCCCATATCTGCCTGCCACACTGCCCTGCCCCATCGTCAGGCATCGTATAACACATCTCATCTCCCAATATCTCGCAATATTCCAACAAAAACCCCTTCTCTAGGGTTCCATTTGCATGGCCCGCCTGGCAGGGAAGCATCTGGTTTTGTTTTTGGAAACGGCATTGCACTACACTAGACAGCAGGGGTTGCACTGCTACACACTAGACTGCAGCCAAGAGGGTTGAAATGTGCGTCCAAATTCCAGTTATACGATAACCGGAACCCCTAATCATATGCAGGGTTTCTCTACCAAGTGGCAAATGATCTTATTGGAATGTAAAAAAAGGCGGGAAATATTCCAGCAAACGCTTAAACAATGCCAAACAATGAAACATGCATTTATGCCAGTTTATTGTTGCCTTTATGCCTTTAAAAGGCAGCCAATTGCTATGATTTATAATAGTTCCATGATAGTCAATACTTTTATTTATTTTTATACCAAAACAGAGCTACCACATCAAACGGATATTATTTGCTTTATCATTTCTAGTTTTAAAAATCCCAGGTAGAATAAACCAAATATCTTCAGAATTCTTAATAGATTATAGAGTTCAAATAATTGTAATTATTTCCCCCAAATTGTGTTGTCTAGTGTCTCCTCCTCCTTCTCCTCCCCCCTTCACATGACTTAACAAAAACACCACCCAACACAAAAGCAACAAAGAAATTGCAAATATATAAACAGCAACAATGCAAAAAAAAAAAAACGGCTGCTTTCCCCCCTTGCGTTTCTTTCTCTTTCTCTCCTGCTGTTGTTTCCCCCTCCCTTTTGTCACTCTTTCTTGCTGCCTGGTGGCCCCCTTTTCGCTTCTCTGTCGTTTCGCTTGTTGTATCTGTTTACACCTGTTTATTCCGTAGGCAAATCGGTATCCCAAGTAAACGCCGACGCCGCCACCGCCACCGTCTCATGTTCGCTTTTTGTTTTTGCTATTTTTTTTTTTTTTGCTTACATTAAAATGTTACAAAAAAATTCTTTATAAATTCGCGCCATATTTGGCTACTGACGCGCCCCCCAGTACCAGTGGGCTTGGGTTTTTTTGTGGGAGCTGGGGGAGGAGGCACCGCATGCCAAACCCACACAACACTTTAAGAATTTTTGTTGGCTTTGCCTCTTTGGCTTTAGCTGTACCCTACTTTACAGAAAGGGTATTGCGTTTATGCGGAGATGTTAGCAGTGAAGAGAAGAAAATTTACCAACCTGGTAAAATATTGCCGTTAAAATTACGCCACAGTTTCTTATGATTTTCAGCCGTTCTGCCATTTTTAAATAAATTTGGATCAATGGCAAATAAGTATAGCACGCACAATAATCAATGGAGTATCTCTAAGGGTATTCCCAACTTCGGTTATCAATGCTGGCTGGCCCTCTACCCCTTCCCTCTCTTCCCTGTTTTCTGTTGGGGGTTTTCGTTTCATATACGCATATCAAATACTTGAGCTCAATTGATTTCAATTAAAACTGACAACTGGGCTGATGATTTCGTTGTGGTTTCTTGTTGTTCTTGTTGCTATTGTTGTTGCTGTTCCTATGGTCGTTAGTGCCAACTCAGATGAAACAAAAACCATCAAAATGCCCCTCAAATGTTGGATCTGATGTGTGTACTACTGTCTGTCTGGAATGGGGCGCTGATCTTCGTGTTTCGTGCTTGATGGACTGCATCGAATGGGGAATGCACTGATGGGATTGTAGTTTATTCCTCATTGGAAATTATAGAGAAAGAAAAGAGGAAAGAGGTCAAAACATCCATTGGAAATCGAGTATAAATACACAATCAAAAATAAGGAAATCTCTTTTAAAGAGCTTCATTCCTAAGCTAAAGGATTACTTTTGAGGAATATATTTTAAGAAATCTTAGAAAATCCAAAGAATTTCTAGCTCTCTTTGGTTTCCCAAACAGGAATTAAATTTTTGGCAATGTTTGCCTTATTTTTAATCCGATTGTTCTTGAAACTGTTAGATCGTCAGATACAAACAGCATAGACATAGACATGACTGTTTATAGTGTGTTGAAACCCATATATCTAGATAATTTTTATTGTTATTGATTTGCGGGGGCCGTTTACGGGGAGAGTCGCCTACCATTCCATATAAGGAAACACCTTCTTATAATTTACGAGATCTACATACGAGATATCATACAGAGACAGAGACATCAAAGAACGACTCGGTGTATACCTCTTGAATAATAATTGCATGAAATGAAAGTTCTTATTATTCTACATTCCATTCAAATCGTTGGATGATTCATGCGGTAAATTTATACACGTGTTTCGATGATAAAATCAGTAAAACAGAAAAAAAAGACATTCCAGATTGTGTGTCACAGTCACACGTTGATGAGTCATGGAAAAATATGGAAAACAAGAACATTTTCCCTTTCATTCTTATCTATGTAAAT